AGAGAGAGAGAGAGAGAGAGAGAGAGAGAGAGAGAGAGAGAGAGAGACCGCTGGGCGCCCAGCCCCAGCCTGGGTGCCTGTTTGCACAGCTTATTCAGGGCCCAGAACAACCCCAGGAGGCAGGTGCTGCTGCTGCACCTCTACTCTGCAGAGCAGAACCTGGCTGGCCTCCTGCTCAAGGACCCCCAGCTGGGTACAAGAGTGTGACCCTGCACCCAGCCTTTACCAGTCCTAGTGAACCAGGCAGAGCACGAAGCTGGTCACCTAGCCAGATAAACCTGCAGACCTGTGAGTGGAGCCCCAGCAAGGCTGGGTAGGTCCAAAGCTGTAAGAGCATGAAGGAAAGGCTGAGAGTGTGCACAAAGAGGGCAGTGGCCCTTCCCCAACTCTCCTTCAGAATCCAGAAAGCCATTTAACTTAATTTCAATATAATGGAAAGACTCAGTGGAAGGAGTGGGGCTTCCTCCGCAGCCTCAACACAAGGCAGCTTCCCTGGCCCCTGCTGCCCACTGGTGGTCCCGGCCCCTTGCTCCGCAGAGGTGGCCCCAGAGCAGAGCACCTTGGACACAGAGACACTCCAGAAGCCTCACCAAGTTCCTTCACGCATGCAAGGCAGCCCAGGGCCCAAGGGGTGGACTCCATGCTGGTCAGGGCTGCTAGCAGGGTCCAGTGTACCCCACGGGGAGGGGCATCGTTAGGCCCAGCCAACAGTCACCCAGACAGAGGGCAGGGCCCAGACATGGGGCTTCCTGCCCAGGAATGCCACCAGCCGGCTGAGATTCCCAGCCCACGCAGGACCCGGAGGGCTGCGGGGGGAGGGGCGGGGTCGGTGCTTCCCCCACCCGCCACTGGCTCCCAGCGGGAAATGTGTTGAGCTCGTCAACATCTCCCTGGCCACAGGGCCAGTACCCCTTTGGCTTCTAAATGATGGGGCACGAGCCAGGTCATTAGGCAGGGAGACTGTCATTAGTGCAGGTGATGCCACCACGCACAGACAATAGCAAACAGTCATTAGCAGCTGTGTCACAGGGTGAAGCAATGCCCGTGGGGGAGGGGCAGTGCTGGCCCTGTGCGTGCTCACACGCAGGCCCGCGCGCACCCAGAGGACGAACTGGGCGCACTTGGGCACTTACATTAAAACCAAACATGTGAGCAGACATACTGGCACATTCTTCACACCTAGGGACTTCCACACACTCTTACACGCTCACACGTGCACGTAGAGGGCTTTGAGCAGACACTCACACATACTTGCGCAGTCATAGTCCCAGACAATGAACGGGCAAATACATCTTACACTCTCATACACAGGGATGCAGGTGGCATGTGTTCACATGTAGTCACACACTCGCCCAGGCAGCCACACCAGGCCCATGAAAAGACACACGTGCACACATGCCTCACCCAAGAAGTGGACAGGGCCTTGAACAAACCCCTAACACTGCACCAGAGAGGCCCTTGGGTCTCCCCAAAACCAGACCCGCAACACTAGATGTCCCCCCCTGCACTGTAACAGATAGACACATTCTCCAGGCCTGGGAGGAAAGGCCTGCACACCAACCCCATCGCCCCACCCCACCCACCTGCTTCAAAAGACCCAGAGAAGAAACCAGCTCCTATGCAGAGGGACATCCTGTCTGGCAAGGGCCCTGGAGCCCAGCGCCCTCGGGTTCACCTCTGCAGCCTCTCCTCTCCCAGCCCCAAGGCCATTTCTCCCCCCTCTCTCCTCCCCCACCTCACCAGGACTCTCACAAAATGGTCTGCAGTAGAGGACCACCAGAAGGTGGGCCAAGGGGATCAGAAGATGGGGAGCAACGGAACCCAGACTGTCTCTGCTTGGAATTCCTCTCCCACCCTCCTCTCCCAGGTACTGTGGGTCAAGCTGCAGGACTCAGGGAGCAGAGAGGCAGCAGAAGGTGGCGAGGGCTTACCACCAGGCAGGGAAGCCTCAGAGAGCCAAAAGGAGGCTGAGTCCTCTGGTCACCCCCTCCATCGGCCGCCCTCGGACTGCATGTATTTGTTTCCTGTTGCTGCCATAATAATTTCCTGTGAATTGAGGGGCTTAAGACAACATAGTTTCCCTAATTTTTATAAACTGTGTTTATTCCTACAACTCTGGCAGTCAGAAGCCTGCAGTGGACCTGACTGGGCTCAAGTCAAGTTGGCAGTAAGACTAAGGCGCCAG